CGCCACGCTGACCTGCGACCCCAGATGCAGCTTACTCATTGTTATCCGCGATATCGTCGGGTGCCGACGCACCGGCGCCACGTGCGTCCCCAGCACCGCCAGGTTGAATGTGAACTGCCGCGATACGTCAAACACAAACGTGTCGTCCATCTTGGCCGCCCACACATTGCCGCCCGTGCACTGTGTCTGCACCGGCGCTATCGCAAACTTCTCGTCGCCCACCTGTGCCACGCACTGCAAGTTCATGGCTACATGGAAAATACCGGTTAGCAGTTACGAACAAAAAAACACACACAACCCTCGCTCAACTGCTTTGGTAACTGCCACTTTTACTTACGCTTGTTTGCTCCCACCTGCCTGACCTCCAATACCTTGACAACAAACATGCCGTCATTGTAGCAGTCGTCACTGCGCTGCAGCCCGCCAAACCCCCCCGTCCCGTGAATGCTCGACCTGCGCATTGTGCGGCGGTTGACCGAGCTCGAGTTTGTCTTGTACGAGCTGGTGGTCGACGGGTTGCGCTCGGCCACAGGCAGCTCCTGCGCCGAGTTGTTGATCCAGTCCATGAGCTCCGGCGCCAGGCTCTTGGTTGTCGTCTTCTGGATATGCACGCGTGGCTTGCTGGCAGACAAATCGCTAATGTACAGGGACTCGTGGCTGGCCTTGGCCCGCAGCTCGCCGCCAGAGGTCTTGTCCACCACCACCCAGCTGTCTACCATAGATGCCATTATTTGAGAAAGAGATTACGAGAAAAGATAAATGCGATGCTGTGGATATAGAAATGTGCTTTTTGCTTTGTGTGGAAACGGGGATGAGGAAATGAAGAAGGTTGAAGGAGGGTGTGGTTTTTTTTTCTCTGGGCGCTTGCGCCCACGAGGATGGCCAGCCAGGCGGTGTTTTAAATAGTCTGAAGGGCGAATAAAAGCACCAAGGGTCCTGTTTTTGGGTCGAACCAACCAGGCTCGGGCAGTAGTAGAGGGAAAAAATTAGGGACACTTTTTTCCTCACTCTTGCTTTGTTGGGGCTCATGGCGAGTGATTGGCGAGAGCAGTGCAAGGCAACCCATGTAAACACCCAGGCCAAAAAGACCAGTCCTTTCTCCATCGGCTTTTGCTCTTATGCACTCGCACTATTCGACTGCCAGACGCGCATGTCATTTCCTCTGCGAACACCTGTATCACAATCGTGAATACGCTTTTTCCTCCCAGTGTGTCCTGTTTTGTGTCTGTTTCAGGACACATGCACATTGTATTTCTGGACGTCTGTAAACATACACCAGCTGGTTCTTCTCACCAACCGACGGCCCATCATAGCGCAGACAAGAAATGCATCTATATTTATTTTTGCCGCTTTCGTTTGTTAATTGCCTCCATCCGAGCGGAGACACTGCGCAAAAAAGATAGCAAGTATCGGTTGTTCCCAGGACAATAGCCAGGCTGCAAGCGGTTCTGCTGATGATGCTCGCCGACAATACCCCGCAAATATGCAGTCGCTACTAAAAATACGTCCCGCAAGCTTGGCCCCCCGTAGTTTCTGCTGATGCCCAGAAAAACTACCAGCGCGATAATAAGCCAAAGTACTATACCAGCAGCGCCTGCCAAATAGCCAGTTCTGATGCCCTTGCGTGCTCCGCACGTATAGTGCCACAAAGGATGCTGCTTTCCCCTCGGGGATTTACAGCCTGCGATGCCTGATGACCTGGATAGTGAGCCGCTGATGACCAAGGGGCAGAACGGGACAGATTTCAAGATTTTGAGTTTTGTGCAGCTGGCAACCACTGTGCAATTCCAAAAACGACACTATCCTCGTCTGCTGATACTTGGAACCGCACTATTGCCCGCCCCTCCCGTCTTTTCCCCCACCACCGCTCGCGCTCTATTTTGCGTGCTCGCACCTTATTGCATGAATTAGAATTCGCCGATTTTATTTTAACCAAAACCGAGATCCTTTGGAGACGACAACAGGGTGTTGGGCGGACCCAGAGATCCGTTTCCGAATTGGTGGACCCCCCGCAAGCTTGCTCGGATCTCCTCAATATCTGCTTTACTGCTTGATGGTGATGCCCTTGCGCAGCGACTCCTTGTACTTCTCGATCGAGCCCTCAAACTTGGTAATCTGCTTGTTCTCGCACAGCCACAGCTCCTTGGCCACCTGGCTGATGAGCCGGAAGTCGTGCGACACCAGCACAACGCCGCCGCTGAAGTGGTTGATCGCATCCGCCAGCCCATCAATGGCCTCGGGCGCCAGACCGTTGGTCGGCTCGTCAAACAGAATAATGCCCGGCGCCTGCTGCGCAATCTCGGCAAACACCAGCCGGCTCTTCAGCCCATCCGACAGCGTGCTGATCGGGCTGGTCTGGTGGCTACCCGACAGACCGAACCGCCCCAGGTTCTGCCGCCAGAAGTCTATGTCCTGCGAGATCTTCGGGAACTTGTCGCGCAGATAATCGATCGGCGACTTGTCCTGGTCCAGCTGGTCGTTCGAGTGCTGGCTGTACTTGGCCAGCTTCAGCTGCGTGTGCCGCTGCACACGGCCCTCGGTCGCGTCCAGCTCGCCCGTCATCAGCTTCAGCAGCGTACTCTTGCCGGTTCCGTTCGGGCCGATCAGCGCAATCCGCGAGTCCATGTCCACTGCCGCGTCAACCTCCCAGTACAGCGCATTGTCGGGGTTGCCGTCGTACGAGAACGTCACGTCGTCGAAGCTCAGCACAGGAGGCGGCAGCTTGGGCGTGTCCGGGAACCGGAACACGTACTTGCGGTCAGCCTCCACCTTCTCAATCAGACCCGCCGCCTCCATCTTGTCAATGATCTTCTGCTTCGACTTGGCCTGCCGCACAAGGTTCGCGTACGTACCCGCCGACGCAATGAACTTTTTGATGTGCTCAATCTCCGCCTGCTGCTTCTCGTACGCCTTCATCTGGTTGACCTCGTTTTCGGCCTTGGTCCGCACGAACGTGTCGTAGTTACCACCATAGTACACCAACCGCCGCTTCGGCGTCAGGTGGATGATGTGCGTGCACACGTTGTTGAGGAAGTCCTGCGAGTGCGACACAATCAGCAGAATCCGGTTGTACGTCTTCATGTACTCCTCAAGGTACACCACCGACTGCAGATCAAGATGGTTCGTCGGGTCGTCCATCAGCAGCACCGTCGGCTTCTTGAACAGGCATTTGGCCAGCGCCACACGCATACGCCAGCCTCCAGACAGACTCTTGGTCGGCATCCTCATGCGCTCCTTATCGAATCCCAGTCCATGCAGCAGCTCGGCCGCGCGCGGCTCAAACGTGCTTGCATCCAGCTGATCAATACGCTCGTAGATATCGTCAATCAGAGGGTTGTCCGCGCCCTCCTCAGACGCTAGCAGATCCTCCAGCTCGTGCTCGAGACGGATCAGCTCGTCCTGCGCCGTCTTGACAACATACTCGAGCGACGAGAGCTCCGTGGGCTCCGCCTCTTCGCTCAGCAGATACGTGTCCATGTGCGGCGGCAGCTCAATGTCACCCTCGGCAATTGACCGCAGGAATGTCGTCTTACCACTGCCGTTGTCGCCAAGCAGACCGTACCGGTTGCCAAAGTTGAGCTCCACCGACGCATTCTCAATCAGCATGCGTCCGTGGAACGACAGCGTGTATGAGTCAATCTGGATGTCGCGCGACAGCGGCGCCGATGTCAGAACTCCGGTCGCGGACCGATCAACCACCAGCTTCAGCTGGCTCATCGTCTTGGCCAGACCCTTGCCACCCTCAGTGCCCGTCGGCGTCGCCGTTCCGGGTGTGGCGGTGCCGGGCGTGCTGGCTCCGGAGGCCTCACCGGCATTGCCGGCATTACCAGCATTGCCAGACTTGGCCGCTGCCTTGGCCGCCTTCGCTGCGAGACGCTTCTGCTTGGATGCGGAAACTGCCATGGTCGTTTATGTTATGAAAGAAAGTACTAGCGTAAACGGTATATGCCCGGTGTATTCTATATGTTTGCTTTTCGGCTTTGTTCCTCCCTCTAATAGAGTCCTGAAAAAGTATGAGGAAAATAGGTGTCGAGTACTGCTGAAAAGAGAAGAAAAGCTTCAATCTGCTCGCCCTTCTCGCTGCTACGCTCTTGATTTTTTGGTGCTCTCTTGAGGCAAATAAAAATTTTTTACTGGTATCCAACTGAGCAAAAAAATAAAAAATTTTCCCCAAAGCTGTTGGGGCACCAGAGGTCACCGGTCCCCATTGGCCAGCCAGGCTCTTTTCTTCCCTTCCTCCCCAAAAAAAAAAAGATAGCAGTGTGATGTCCAGCTGACGTCAATGCTCTGAGGAAAAGGCTAGGCCGCAGTTGGAATTCGCTCGTACGCCGCTTGTGCTGTGCGCTTGCTTCACCAGATGGGGGAGGCGCCGTGCATGTGCGTTCCCGTGGCCACACCAAATGCCGCGTCTGCTGGGCAGCGTTAGCTTAGATATGCTTGTTTGAAATACCTGTGGTAGGTGTGTATTAACATCGCTCGGCTGCTTCTGGGAAAGCAACTGCTTATCAGGATGCGTGGCTTAATATACGGCGATACTGTCGACAGCGATCAGAAAAGCAGTCACTCGACCAGGATCTGAGATAAATGATCCCACGCTCTACACAGGTTTCATGATGTTGCTGTGGGGAAGCTATCCTACAAAATGGTCGGCATGTATCTGAGTATAAATCTGGCCACAAACTAATGATGTTGGAGTACAGCTATACTAGAGTGCATCCACACATTCGCCGAAGCAGATTCAGATAATAAAAGCAGTACACCAAGTGATTTCAAGTCATGGATGCTCCATCGTAGACTCACAAACCGTGCAATGAGATGCTATCCGTAATTGGGACGTCTAACCTTTCATTTGGAGATATCATCTAAGAGCAACGATAGCGAAGGTCAGCGGAGAAAGCAACGAACTCTAAGGTGACCAATGTCGTATAGAGTTAAATATGTTTTATTTTTTGAGGTTCTCAGAATCTGGGATCTAATCTGGTTTGATCTCCGATGGTTCTGGGGCTTTAGCTCATCTGGGAGAGCGTATGACTGAAGTTCATAAGGCACCGTGTTCGATCCACGGAAGCCCCACTACGGATCTATTTTTGCTCGCCAGATCGCCATACTCTTTTGGATCGTCCTAGTGCTCGGCACCCTGGTTTGCGCCAACCGGTGGTGTTCGTCCATGCCACCTTTGCTTTTTGCTCAGTCGGTTGTGCATGCATATTGTTGTCATTCGGGCAACCCCACGCCATGTCCCTCAGAGGATCAAGAGCCAGCAATCGTATTGGTTGCCTCTTGCCGCTTCGGGCACTGGCTGTACATATTCATATGCATTAGCTCGCTGTCGCTTGTCCGATAAGATATTTTGGCAAGCCATTCGTCTACTGGATACTGAATCTATGCACAGGTAAGCAGACAAGACCAGTCGAATATCTGCCTTTGCTGCAAGTGTTTTCAAGTGAAAAACATAGGGAATGGGGAATGGGGAATAGGGAACCGCACTGGGTGTTTGATGATGGCTCTGTCATTTAGCAACAAGCCGCTGTGATATTTATACCTGATGAGCAGGGCCTAGTAGAGCCATTTTTCTGGATAATAAAACACACAGATCCCAATATCTGGACAATACCACAACGAAATGTCGAAATTGATTGAAAGCCATTGCCGCCAAACACCTTACTTCTAAGCAAAGCCTTCCTTCTACTGCTTGTGCACATGGCACATAACGATGCATTTAAGAAATGGACGGTGTGGTTAACAAAGTAGTTGCAAGGTTGGAAAGCGATGGTTATAAATGGGCGTTGAAAAACTGATGGAGGCGGAATGGAGGGGACATTTACATATGCACATGTTCACCGCTAGCACCCATCAGGAACACTGCTGTCATCGGTATGCCTGCCCCATCCACCACCCGGTGCATTGACACCAAGTCCGCGCTTGGCAAATGCACCCCAGATCTCGCACCTGTTCTTGCCACCAGTCAGATTCTGCTCGGCCTGGATTATGGCATTGCGTGCATCGATAAACGTTGGGTTGCACGGCTGCAGCTTCATCCCGTCAAGCAGGATCTGGAGCATGATGGAGTTGCCCTTGGTCAGGTCGTGGGCAAAGATGTCATCGGCAAAGCCATTCTTGTCAATCAGCGCCCACATCACTTCATACAGAATTTCAGCCCACACCTCGCCGATGGCATGCACTTCCTGGTAGTCCATGCGGTCGAGGTAGCTGTATGTTGATGGGTTGGTGTCCATGCTGGTCGAGTACGGATAGTTGCGAATCCCCTTGGTGTACACATAGTGGCCCAGCACAAGGTCAGTGTCATGTGTATCAGTGCTCTTGAGGCGCAGGATAGTCGACACTGCATCGCTCCACCCCTCGCCCATGCCACCCGACTCGCCATCATTCAGGCAGTCGGTATTGGCGGGCCCGCCTGTCAGCCGGTTCGAGATTCCATGGGTGAACTCGTGTGCCACAATGTCCTGCTCAAAGTCGCCGTCGCGGTTTGGCATAGTCTGGGTCCATGTATACATACGCATGCGCGGACGCTGGCCATCAGGAGGCGTGGCAAAGTTGGCATTGTTGGTGCCAGAGCCGTCCTGGGCATTGGCAATGATGCCATCCCCGCCAACCCCTCTGCCGCTAAAGTTCTCATCCTGGAAGTTGCCTGCAGCCTCATCAAAGCCGTAGATGTAGGACAGATCGTGCATGATGTTGTTGGTATAGAACAGCTGCACAATAGCTGCGTCAATGTACGACTCTGGTGGCTGCGACAAGTTGAGGGGAAAATCGAACACATTGCCGGGGCCAGCTTTCGGGCGGTGGTTTGTCTGCCACGTCGAGCCACCGGTTGGGTTGGACTGTGCCCAGACATTGTTGCCGTAGGTCGAGCCCTTGGTGACCCAGCCCTTTGGACTGGCATCCTTGCTTGCCGGGTCAGCAACCAGTGTGTGCTTGCCATCTTCAGGAGACAGCACATCCTTGGCATAGACATTGTATGATTCAGACTGCGAGTACCAGTCGTAGAGGGCGAGCACATTGTGCGAAGAAGTGTCGATGCTTGCAGTCCACCAGTGGTCCTGCTGCTCGGCATTGACACGCCAGACGCTGGATACTGAGCCGTCAGCATTCTGCAAGAGAGCAGAGGTAATACGGGCAGTTCCATCGATGGCAAAGTGTGCAGGCAAGTTCGTGACAGTGAGCCCAGACGGTGAGTCAAAGCTGGTTGCTGCCATGCCACCAAGGTCAGTGTCGGCAAGTGGTGCTTGGATGTGGTTGGCCAAAGCAAGAAGGGCCGCTCTGGCAGAGTCTGTTGAGAGAGCAGCTGATGAAAAGTCGGCATTGTTGCTAGCCAGAGGCTCAGGAGTAAATGAATGGCCAGACGAAATGACACGTCCATTCTTGTCAATGTTGACGTTTGCTACGGCATTGGTGACATGCAGGCCACCGTGGGTCTGGACCATGTAGACATGTGTTAGCCCTGTAGCAGTGTCGGTGTATGCATCGGTGATGTGGATGCTGTCCAGTTGGATGCCATGCTTCTGGTGCAGATAAGTGGCAGCAATCGACATGCTCTGCAGCAGCAAGGGGTCGCTGTGGGCAAGCGACGAGGAAAAGGTGGTAGGGCTTGCAATGGGGTTCAGAGACAGAGGAGTCTCGTAGACAGTGAATGGCTGTCTGTGGCTGAGAGCAGGGCTGAACGGCTTGGCTGGTGTGGAGAGCTGTCGCTGCTGTGGCTGGGAGATAAGCGCACAGGACAGAGCAGCAAAGTAAATGGTAGATACGAGTGGTTGGAGCATGGTTGGAGCATGGTTGGAGTGGAGAACGAGATGAGGCAGGCGCTTCGTTCCAGGTGGGTTGGAGCGCAATAAATACGCAGCTGGCAGCACAAGCAGCAGCTTTTACATAAGGCGTCGGGGGGGGCTGGGGACAGTGGCTTGCGGTGTGGTGGTGGGAAGCGTGACCTGGTCGGCTTAGGAATCGCCGGCGGTCCGCCAAAAGCAGCAGCAAAAACATGTGCAGCGCGTGACTTGGTCAGCGCTCGGGGAGTGAGGATTGCCGAGGCCGGGGTGGGGCGGCAAAAGGAATGGGCAAAAGAATCGTCAGCGACAGGATTTGAACCTGTGCGGGCAGAGCCCAACAGATTTCGAGTCTGTCTCCTTAACCACTCGGACACACTGACGCTTATCCGGATCGAGCCGAAGCTCTGAACCAATCAACTGCTGAAATTAGTAGAAAATAATGTATACATAAGGAGATCGAACAGTGGAGCAGTACGCTTGACACTCCATTCTTGCACTCTGCCGCTAATATAACCCAGAACCTCCCGCTTCATGGATATTACACACCAACAAATATACACATGCAAAAATTAACGCCAGCTGTCATGTTCCATAGTGCTATTGATATAATGCCACTGAGCGAAAGCAAGAACATACCAGTTTTCAATACCGCTTTTCGCAACCTATGCCATTTGTGCCTATGCATATTGGAGGGAATCGTTATCCGGTACCTCGCCACATCTAAAACAGCTCCAAAGAATTTTCTGTGCCAGTGTGCTAGTCTCAGAGTGCGAATGCTGCCATGCCAAGAAATCAAAACAACAGCTGCCACTGTTGACACGCTGCTGATACTAATAGATTTTGCCAGCATGGTGTGTTTAATCCAGAAAAGTAAAGTAGACAGGCAAACGGATGAGGCAGCAGCCAGCGTCTGTAGTAGACATGGCAGCTGCATTGTCAGTCAAACCAGACAGAGAAGCAGATTTCATTCCTGCTCCCAAGGAACTCAGCCTAACCACCCATTTTACACTATCTGTCCATGTTTCTATAATAAATTAGCTCGATTAGTGCGCAGTTCGGGTCTCTATTTCTGCTGCTCTCGCTTTACGCTTAATAATGGAATTCTCAGGCACTTTGGCTGCGTTGCGTGAGGATCTCGCAGCATGCTGTCAGAAGCAGCCAGGCGAGGTGCCGTGGCCGTGGATCGCAACGAAAGTAGCATCGCTGTTGACAGCACATGGAAATATGACGCGGACGGTTCTGTTAACTGAGCTTGAAGCGTCATGGCACTCGCTAATAGCCAAGGAATCTGCGGATGGTGAGATATTCCGGACAGTTGATCCATTCCTAGGACGCTCCATTCCGCCACCGCTATCAACTCGTTTCCACCTGAAGGTTTTGCAGACACACAAGCTTCCAGGCACAGATATCTGGCTATGGAGCGTCTGCGGTGGACCGAGCTCAGGCAGTGAGCGGCGGTTGCGCACGGCAGACAAGCACATGGATATGTTTGTCCACGAGCGACACTGCCCGATGATTGGCTCCAAGGAGTTTGCTGGGTTTTTTGACCAGCGGTGCATCTACGCAACAAACCTCAAGGCAGCAGATCGCGGGTGCGGGTCAGGCAGACCATTGCTAACACTTTTGCCTGACTGTGCACTCGTATTTGAGGTCAAAGTCGGGGCATCCAACAGTGCACTGCAGGACACCGCACCTACTGACGAGCTCTTCTTGCGAGACATATTTGGCGTTGCCTTTAGCCGAGAAAGGTTTGTATATGCACGCGACCCAATATTCGATGCGAACCAGGTGTGGGGGAAGATCGAGCGCATTGAGCGTACCAAAGAGGAATTCGAAGACGGCCGGCCAGTCTCGTATGCCACCGTCAGCTGTCTGATCGAGCATGCAGAAGCACCATACCTGGTATCCATCCGATTTTACGATGCAGATATACCGCTGGTGCGGCTTTTCCATGATGATGACTACATTGGCTTGCTCTGCGCCGAGCAGGCCTCAGATACGGAGTTTGTCTATGGACCGCAGACAATTGCCTTCATCATGCGCGGCACACGCGCCTCATACAACGAGACATCACAAACAAGCGTTGCGTACAATGACCTTGGGTTCTTTGACTATCGGCGATACGCACACCAGATCTCGATTGGCCAGCTTGTGCCCGAGATCATCAACCTGACGATGATGGCGCGAGTCGTCGCAGTCTCTGAAAATTATCCGACCCAGGTAGAGAACGGCTCAACTTTGGACCGCTATGTTCTGCGCATCGGCGATGGAACAGGAGTATGCGATGCCACAGTTTGGGGTGAGCTTGGAAGAACCGCTGCCCGAGCTATGCCTGGCCAACTGGTGGTGCTGCACAACTTTGAGACCCACGAGGACGAGAGCCCGAATCCACTCAACGACAGCAGAGTCATTATTAATGGGAGCCTTGCAATCCATGCACAGATATTCAATATCTCGCAGATGCCTGGAATGCTAAGCTGCTCTGAGCTGCGGGGATATTCGTTCCTGGCTGACATTGCAGGTGAGGCCAATTGCTATGTGCGTGCAACGGTGACTGGGATACATAGTGCTGGCGATTTTGTCAAGGACTCGCGGGACCAAGTAGGGATAACAAGGTTTGCCCACAGAAAGTGCAGGCGAACTGTTGTTCCCTCTGCGCGTCTAGACGGCACTGTGCTGGAATCACTCAAGAGCGACTACGGGTTTAGCTGCCGGCGCTGCAAAATCAAAGAGGTCCCAGACATTGATGTTGTGTGGGAGTTTGCGCTTACAGCAGAAATCGATGACGGGACTGACTGTTGTACTGCAGATGTCTCGCCGGAAGCTGCAGCAACAATCCTGGGGATATCACCATCGCAGTTCCTGTCACTGTCCGCCGAGCACAAGCAGCACCAACAACTGAAGAGTCCCTTAGGACTGGAGTTTGTCATTTCGCTGACATCGTTTATCGACGGCGGTGGTGATAGTGGCCCTTTGTTGCGCATTGAAGCAGCATGTCCGATAGATAGGGTAGGGGTATCGGGGATACATGTGTGATATGGTTTGTGGTTTCTAAGCGAATCGTCCTTTTACGGATATCCACCAGAGAGATTGCCACTTTTCACCTTGATCTGCATTACGGCTGACAAATACAGGCTCGACATACGTGGCATTTATGGGTATGATTGGCACTCTTTCACACTGTGCATGTGAGGAGAGTGGTTTTTTACAGCCTCCTCTCTTATGGCTGTCCAATTTGTAAGCATGACAGCAGGAGCCCCTTTGGCCTTTCCTTTACATCATTTTTGAGAGCTAACCTCTTGATACAAACTATCCGTGCTTACAAACATTTTCATGCTGTAAACATTACTGTCTCTTGCAAGCTGCATTGTGCAAAAAGTAGTCCGAACTCCGCAGAATGCCAACCAACGCCACCTAGTGACAGCCATCCAAAAACATATAAATTGCAACGCATACCAATCTAGCACCTTCACTTTCACTACTTGCCATACTACTTTTCGTTGACAACCCACACTCAAACACCCACAAAGCAACCATGTCTACCTATGTTCTTCGTTACTTCCCTCTCAAGGCTCGCGCCGAGACTTGCCGTGCCCTGCTGAGCTACAACGATTCCGAGCACAGCGATGAGGCCCCTGTCTGGCCCCAGGATAAAGTCAACCAGCCGGTTGGCCAGCTCCCCGTCCTGATCGAGACTGATGAGTCTGGAAACGTTTTTGAGCTTAGCGAGTCTCTGGCAATTGAGCGCTACCTGGCAGCCAAGCACGGCTTGCTTGTCAACGGCACCCCTCAAGACAGTGCCCGCCAAGATGAGCTACGCCATCAGCTCGTTGATATTTTCAACTATGCCCCAAGACACCGCTTTACTGTTGAGGAGGCTCGCCCGTCTATCAAGGAACGGTTTGAAACCCAGGTCCAGTTCTTCATCAAATACCACGAGAACCATCTCAAGAACAACGGCTCCAACGGCCACTATTTTGGCAACGAAATCACATACATGGATGTAGCTCTCGTTGCAACCTTGCGCTCGATTAACGACTTTGGAAACCAGTGCCTGTCAGGCATGTCGGACTTTTTCACTCCGGAAAAGGCACCCCTGATCAACAAGGTTGTTGAGGTTGTCAGTGCTGACCCGAAGATGGCAAAGTACCTTAGCAAGTAAAATCTTTCTTGGATAGCCATTGCCTATAATAATAACCGTCGAACCATCTGATTGGTGATATGGAGAAGTAAGACGACACATCCATTGCCTCTGGAGACATGGACAAATAGTAAAAGTGAACTGGGGCAAAAAGACACCGCTCTCGGATAGGCTCGAACTATCAACCTCCTGATTAACAGTCAGACGCGCTAACCAGTTGCGCCACGAAAGCAGATACAGTACCAACACTGTTTTCTGCCGGCATCCAAAAATAATGTATATATCATAATGGTGTGACCTCGTGTCAGGCATTCCATGGACCAGCGGCAGACCCGTGAGCACATCATGGTAATCACCCACTGATGTGAGAGATCGTCGAAGCTGTCCTTTTGCGATATTTCCGCATACCAAGATCGAGGTAGGCGCCGATAAAAATAGGAGTAAGGACCGGTGCCCCAGAAAGCTGAGGTTTAGTCCTTATTGTTGTACTCTTATATGGGTCCTGCGATGGCATCAATCACTGTTGAACATACAATGATCTGACTCAGATTCCGATTATTTATAGGTCATATGACAGTAGCTCTTGGATTCGATAGTATTTTTCGGTAGGGTTTTAGTGTATCTAAATTGTTCACCATCGACGGAACGGAGCAGATTTAGTACAAACCAAAGAATACTCAACTCGTATATGTGCACTCGGCACTCGTCAAAACAAGCAGCCCCCCGTATTTCTTCATACTCCTCTACACTCTCTGTGTGTCGACTACTTCATCAAACCCCTATTTTATTCCTATAAGCAACCATTATTAAAGATGGCAGAACAATTCAAAAATAATGTATATATGTCTACATGCTATTCATATAGGCAGTAGAAT